TGATATTTGACTTTGAGCGAGGAGGATTGAATGACACTCGTATTGTGGAAATTGCGCTTGAAATCTTCACGAGCCGCGACATCGCGAGGCAAAGAGTGAAAAATTATCCGCGCATTTGCATTAAGTGCAGGAGGACTCGCGGGGAACTTGGGTCGTTATTATTACGGACATTTGAAAAAGTTTCGTAGCAGCGGCGTCCGTGAAACGAGACTGCTGGGACATTTTGATATCAACCGTGCAAGGTGTCCATCAAACGCGGCTCGTCTATCCGCAATTAAGGCCACGATGAAAAGTTACGTTAAATATTAAACGTTACTATCTTTCTGGCTTTGGCGGGGGAGATTTTCCCGCGAAGTACATATATTACGCGAGCGGTAATCCCTGTTCCCTTTTACAGGCGGATTCGTCTAACGGAGAGCGAAGACGCCGTTTAAGCCGGCCAAGCCCGGTATCACACAACGGTTTTACGCGGCAAATTAGCTTTCTTAACGATTCCACGTTTAACAAAGCCGCGCCGGGGCATGCGCGCTCGGTCGCGGGAAATCCGCCGAATGAAATAATTACGTTGAAACATCGCGGCGGGCTACGAACGACCCTATAGAGCCGCGCAATTCGCGGCGGGAACCCTCTCGGAAAATAATAAAGAGCGATGTCGGTCGCGGGCCGACGTTATATACCCTTCGCTCGCATTAACGCCGAACAAAATCTCAAGTGAGCAAGAAAGGAAAACGACGAAACAACGCGGCGCGGAAGAAAATACTGTAGGGCCACGAAAGTGCCACCCTCGCCGCCAATTACAAAGCCCGCGCGCACTTCGAACAGCGTGCTTCGCGGATGCGCGCTTGTTAATTGGGAAAAGGACACTTTCTCGCGGTCCGATCTTTTGTTCCGCTGTATTCTGCGTTTTTTGGTCGTCGGAAACTACGCTGTCTGTGTTCGCGAACTCGGTGCTACGGCTTATGAATCTCTCGGTCGGATCAAGTAATAAATAAGCCCGTGTTTGGTGTATCAATTTTATTTGTCGAACCTGTTTGTTTTAGCGAACGTCGTAAAATTTTAAGCAGAGATTTTTAAACTCGATCGCGTGGTATTACTAATATTATTAATATTATAATTATTTATTAATTATTATCGTGTTTATTATATCAACGGAACCTTTAATAGAATGATCGTTATCGAATTAAGAACAATTGCGAACAATAATATGGACAGAGTGTTTAAAGGGAGTAAAAGGATTGCAAAAGAAGTTGAGAGAATGGCAATAATCGATTTGCATCGATGAGCAAACGATTTAAACTGTTGGAAGACAGACGTTTTTATTTCTCAGGGTAGGTGGAAGCTTTTTTAGAAGTAGATTCAAAGAGTGTCACATTTTTACGACTTGTATCGCAATTTCGTATTGAAACGTGTCTACGAACAATTTGGATCATACTATACTATACTATTACTATATCGTTGTATCCACGAATCTTTATGCATTTATGGCACATGCAAATATCGAGAATACTGGAAGATTTTGTTCTGAGATTTTCTTCCGAATTGCACCGATATCGCGTGCACACGATCAGTATGATTCCATGCTTGTATTAATAATAGTATTCGTCGTTTCATTGATAATTAGCAAACATTGTTCCAATCCTCGGGTAACAAGAGGGCGAGAGAGAGAGAGAGGGAGATACATGAGAGTTAGCAAGCCAATGAGACGATACCAGAATAGAGTCTGTGGCTGTGCATGATCGTGTTGCTAGTACTAAACAGTACGATTATACAGTGGGGAATACTGTTCAACTGTTCGGTAAGATAGGGCTGTAACCTAGATATCTCCGGTCTTTATGAACGCGCGAAACAAAAGTTCATTGTGTATCAAAGAATTGTATATTTCACGCTTCGAATTTCGCCTAGACAATTTTTTTATCAAAATTACTAGCGTTACGTCACTGATACGATGCAACCCGCACATTATTTCTTTATCCGGAAACTATGAAATTCGATATCCCTTCCAAGCGCCGAATATCGACTCCAAAAATTCCCACAATATCAAAGCCGATTAATTAACTCTGGAACGATCGCGTGAGGTGTTTGACACCCTAGCCATCTTCTTTGTAATCGGCGTTTCTTTATTCATTAGCGAAATGTTAAGTGGCGCCACCCAGCTGTCAATTGCTACGTTAGCTTTTAATTAAGAGAGTCGCAGTAGCGTGTTTTTGTTCCGGTATTATTTTTACAGGTCTCTTGGGGTGCCGCGCACCCCTCGCACCGCTTTATGTAACTTTAACTGCCGCGTCCGGTCCAGGGTTAATGAAACCGAAATTAGAAAGTTCAAATTTATCGCAAGGAATATTAGTTTACATACAGCTGTCCTATTTAGAGGGAACCGCAATTGCTTAGCGAAATTACNTTATTTGTCGAACCTGTTTGTTTTAGCGAACGTCGTAAAATTTTAAGCAGAGATTTTTAAACTCGATCGCGTGGTATTACTAATATTATTAATATTATAATTATTTATTAATTATTATCGTGTTTATTATTTGTCGAACCTGTTTGTTTTAGCGAACGTCGTAAAATTTTAAGCAGAGATTTTTAAACTCGATCGCGTGGTATTACTAATATTATTAATATTATAATTATTTATTAATTATTATCGTGTTTATTATATCAACGGAACCTTTAATAGAATGATCGTTATCGAATTAAGAACAATTGCGAACAATAATATGGACAGAGTGTTTAAAGGGAGTAAAAGGATTGCAAAAGAAGTTGAGAGAATGGCAATAATCGATTTGCATCGATGAGCAAACGATTTAAACTGTTGGAAGACAGACGTTTTTATTTCTCAGGGTAGGTGGAAGCTTTTTTAGAAGTAGATTCAAAGAGTGTCACATTTTTACGACTTGTATCGCAATTTCGTATTGAAACGTGTCTACGAACAATTTGGATCATACTATACTATACTATTACTATATCGTTGTATCCACGAATCTTTATGCATTTATGGCACATGCAAATATCGAGAATACTGGAAGATTTTGTTCTGAGATTTTCTTCCGAATTGCACCGATATCGCGTGCACACGATCAGTATGATTCCATGCTTGTATTAATAATAGTATTCGTCGTTTCATTGATAATTAGCAAACATTGTTCCAATCCTCGGGTAACAAGAGGGCGAGAGAGAGAGAGAGGGAGATACATGAGAGTTAGCAAGCCAATGAGACGATACCAGAATAGAGTCTGTGGCTGTGCATGATCGTGTTGCTAGTACTAAACAGTACGATTATACAGTGGGGAATACTGTTCAACTGTTCGGTAAGATAGGGCTGTAACCTAGATATCTCCGGTCTTTATGAACGCGCGAAACAAAAGTTCATTGTGTATCAAAGAATTGTATATTTCACGCTTCGAATTTCGCCTAGACAATTTTTTTATCAAAATTACTAGCGTTACGTCACTGATACGATGCAACCCGCACATTATTTCTTTATCCGGAAACTATGAAATTCGATATCCCTTCCAAGCGCCGAATATCGACTCCAAAAATTCCCACAATATCAAAGCCGATTAATTAACTCTGGAACGATCGCGTGAGGTGTTTGACACCCTAGCCATCTTCTTTGTAATCGGCGTTTCTTTATTCATTAGCGAAATGTTAAGTGGCGCCACCCAGCTGTCAATTGCTACGTTAGCTTTTAATTAAGAGAGTCGCAGTAGCGTGTTTTTGTTCCGGTATTATTTTTACAGGTCTCTTGGGGTGCCGCGCACCCCTCGCACCGCTTTATGTAACTTTAACTGCCGCGTCCGGTCCAGGGTTAATGAAACCGAAATTAGAAAGTTCAAATTTATCGCAAGGAATATTAGTTTACATACAGCTGTCCTATTTAGAGGGAACCGCAATTGCTTAGCGAAATTACGTAGTAACTTAATGAACCTGGATTGAGACGATAACGTTGAAGCCATAGTGTTTAATTGCGTGTAACTCTGCAATCGCTATTAAAGGCGTTAAATAAATAAATTTATCAAGATGCATTAGTTCAATCCTTTTGTATTCCAAATACTCTATTAACATTCAGCTTACATGTGACCGACGTTGAACACAATTCGTGTTAAAATCGATACGAACATCGGCAAAATTTGGAATGTTACTTTTATCTCGCAGCGCATAATTCCAAGCTCGAACATCGTCATACGCAGTGTCACGTCCTCGGAAAGGATCGTCTAAAGCAGGGGTGTCAAACTCGCGGCCCGAGATGAACATTTTTGACGTCAAGTATCAGGACGTAAACAACAATTTAACTTTATATATGTGTTTATTACAATGTACTAGTCAAAATAAAAATATTTGTTTCTATGAACATTGATCTTTTTTTTTGCGGCCCACCTAAAGTTAAGCATCGTNAGACAATTTTTTTATCAAAATTACTAGCGTTACGTCACTGATACGATGCAACCCGCACATTATTTCTTTATCCGGAAACTATGAAATTCGATATCCCTTCCAAGCGCCGAATATCGACTCCAAAAATTCCCACAATATCAAAGCCGATTAATTAACTCTGGAACGATCGCGTGAGGTGTTTGACACCCTAGCCATCTTCTTTGTAATCGGCGTTTCTTTATTCATTAGCGAAATGTTAAGTGGCGCCACCCAGCTGTCAATTGCTACGTTAGCTTTTAATTAAGAGAGTCGCAGTAGCGTGTTTTTGTTCCGGTATTATTTTTACAGGTCTCTTGGGGTGCCGCGCACCCCTCGCACCGCTTTATGTAACTTTAACTGCCGCGTCCGGTCCAGGGTTAATGAAACCGAAATTAGAAAGTTCAAATTTATCGCAAGGAATATTAGTTTACATACAGCTGTCCTATTTAGAGGGAACCGCAATTGCTTAGCGAAATTACGTAGTAACTTAATGAACCTGGATTGAGACGATAACGTTGAAGCCATAGTGTTTAATTGCGTGTAACTCTGCAATCGCTATTAAAGGCGTTAAATAAATAAATTTATCAAGATGCATTAGTTCAATCCTTTTGTATTCCAAATACTCTATTAACATTCAGCTTACATGTGACCGACGTTGAACACAATTCGTGTTAAAATCGATACGAACATCGGCAAAATTTGGAATGTTACTTTTATCTCGCAGCGCATAATTCCAAGCTCGAACATCGTCATACGCAGTGTCACGTCCTCGGAAAGGATCGTCTAAAGCAGGGGTGTCAAACTCGCGGCCCGAGATGAACATTTTTGACGTCAAGTATCAGGACGTAAACAACAATTTAACTTTATATATGTGTTTATTACAATGTACTAGTCAAAATAAAAATATTTGTTTCTATGAACATTGATCTTTTTTTTTGCGGCCCACCTAAAGTTAAGCATCGTTTATTTATTATTATGACCCAAGTTAGCTTTTGAGTTTGACACCCCTGGTCTGAAGCAATCAGAACTCCCGACACATGTGTGCAACTAAATTGCGAGAACTCCAAGGAACACCGAGACTGCACGCGGCTATTGATTGACCTTGGTCCGCGTGGCCTTTCCCGCGATCTCCAGCACGTTTCGGAGACTTTACGACACATCCGCAAATCCAGAAATAAGGCTGACCTGGTGGCTGGCTCGGTTCCAGAGTCCTTTATCACAGATCGTAATGCAGGTACAAACGAGACGACGCTACAGGAGCACTCTGTGGCGCTGCTCTGTCCCGTTCGCTAACAGTCCGACGGATTGTCGGGCAAGTGCTCTTTGATTTCCTCTAATATCTCGATAATACGTGTCTGATAAGCCTTGACGCTGCGGCACTGGCTCAGGACTAGCTCCGCCCGTTGGTCACCGTATATCACGTGCTCGATCTCGTCGCTGGGTAACGCGAAGTACCTCTGCGCCGCGTCCTTGGTGAGCAACATGACTTGCATATTCGCGGCGGAATAGGTCAGCGAATTGATGACCAGCTCTTCGCAGGATTGGACGAATTCCGCGCGGGACAGGCACCCCTCCATGTCCAGGCCTTCGGCGGCCAGCTCGGCGCTCATGGTGTCGCAGTAGACGTCGCGGAAGGACTCGAAATGAGCCTTCCGAATGGCGCGGGAGGTGTTCAAGTAAAGGGAGAGAAGGAAGTCGAACGCTGGAGGGTTGTGCCGAATGAACTGATAGTCTATCAGGTAGCAACCGGTCGGTCTTCCGTCGGAGTCTCTCCTGAACATGATATTGTTCGCCCAAATGTCACGATGGCAGACCAAGTTCCTGAACTTGCTGGACGACTCGACCAGCTTCGGCATCTGGAGGATCAACGCGGCCACGCCGTCCTTCAGCCGCGTTCGCTCCTGATCGGTCAGACCCTCGACAAGGTCGACCAACGTGCGAGCGCCGACGACGCACGCGTGAAGGTATTTTTGCGCTTGCAGTTGGCCCTCGATGAAACCCGCTTCCGTCAGCATGTCTCCGTAAAGGTCGGCGATCGTTTGCCCGGTGCTGCGACGGAGCTTCTCGTCCAGGATCAGAGACCTCGAGTGGAAAGCGGAGAGCGTCTTCACCATCCAGAGACAGTGCTCCTCGTCGAACGGCAGAAACTTGTCCGGCATGACGTAGCCGGACTCCTTGGCGTCTTCCAGAACAATTATGGTCATGTCCTTGCCGTGATAATAATCGACCGACCACTTGTGCCCGATCCCGTTGCCCATCGCAGGTATCAGTTCTTCGTAGACCCTTATCTCCTTCTTGAAGGTGCCGGAAATGATCAGCCAGTCGTATTGGGGGCTGAAAGTTGGCGGCGGTGTTTTCGCGAAAAATTTCAGCTTCTCTGATTTGTCGCCGGTCCTCACCGTTATGGAGAGCGTGTGGTACGAGCCCATGTAGCCATTCGTCTCCTCCAAACTATCCAAACTCCAGCGCAAAACGTGGAAGTTATTCGAGCGGAGTTTCCGTTCGACGATCTTACTGATGTAGGAATCGATAACGGTTCGCGGCGGCGGGAGGTCGGCGATGGTGCGGACCCGCGGATTCGAGTCGGTCAAACGGCAGCTAGCCGGATCAGAGCTGATAGACGGCATACTGAGGTCCCATTGTGTTCGTCTCCGATAGTATACGGAATTTATATACGCATCCATGCGCGTCTAGAGTCGTATTGCACATGGCCTAACCCGTTTGCGCGTGCCATCTCGCGCGATCGTAAATAAGCGTTCCGATCTGTTTGAGGTGTCTAAGCGGGCAGACGGACGGGCCCGGGGCACCCACGGATAGCGGGGAGCCAGGCCAATTGGAAGTTAACGACTAAATAGAGCATCGCTTCGACAAACATCCCGCTCACGGTAATTTATACATCCCGTAAATCTGTCCGGATATACTTTCTAGATGTGACGAGGAAGCGGGCCGCGTGATTTACGACGTTTCACGAAAAAACGGGACCGCGATAGCACGCGTGCGTGCGGAGAAAATTTACTGGCAAGTGAGCGCGATCGCGCGCCCATCGACTTTAGAAAAATGCGAGAACGAGTGCCTCGAAGTTTTGTGGTTGAAAACCACGCGCGCTGGCCAAACCGCCGGGATATTCGCCACGAACTTTACTGGCATCGATTGTTTGATTTAAACAGGCCACTTCATTTCCCCGGGAAACCAGAGCCGAACTTTTTCACGGATATCAGGTGAAGCGCGCGTAATTATGGTGGGTGCGCACAGCGTTTACGATGGAACATCCATGGCGGTCTTCGAAATAGTTGCCCAAACAATCCGCGATCCGCGGATTTACGCTGTTCGAGGATGTCTTATTTTGATGGGAATAAAACTACGCTAGATATCCCAATTTCCGCGCCTTTAAGCCAATTTTTGCTTCGCTGAAGCTGTTATTAAATGCGCTAAAAGTATATTTCGATTTTTCGGACACTTCTGTTTTCAAAAATATCTTTTTCATGATTATAAGTATTTTCTGCGTGACAAATATTTTTTTACTAATTTAACGATGTTTTTAACGAGATCGGAAAAGTGTTTTCGACCCGAATTCTGTGTCCTTTCAGGGCCCAGTTTTTTATATCATGTAGTGTTACTATATTATATAAGAATATTGATTATCTATCAATATTTATTGTCCCAGTGTACGTTTCATATGTAGTCAACTAGACCGAAAGCAATTCTCACACACAAGACGATATTTATTATATAAATCAGTGAACATTGACTCTGGCACTGTAATTAAGTAACTGTTCTATTCTTCGAACATTCATGTTACTCTATGTATACAGTTCGGATAGTCGAGGTTGCACCGTATTACAGTACACCATAAAATGAGACTAGAAAAATGTCAGATAGGCAAACACTTCTACAACGGAATATAATTCCAACTCGTATCTCGTAACTGGCATTGAATAGACCGCGGATTTTATGCAGTTGTGATAAAAGCGTGTTGGTTGAATGCAAAACAGTAGATGCGGGGAATAAATTTAACAATACATGAATTTAACAATGCATAAATTTGAGAATACATAAATTGAACAACGCATGAATTTTCAATTTATTAAAAATATTACAGATGGGAATAAATTGTTATTTGACTGGCGATCGTTACAGTCGAAGTAGAAAATATTTGTTTTGCATACAGTTCCGCAGTCTAATAATCGAGAATAAGTAGATTATGAATTGTATGCATTTATGAGAATAATGTGTAGCTGGAATATAAAATAGCGGAAAGATTATAGGACTTTAAGAATATACAATTAAAAACTCCAAGAAAGAAAGCAAACAACTATTTAACTTCGGTTCGTTGCAATTTAGATAGACGATGTTCATCTCGCATAAAGATCCGCGGTCCAATAATATGATGGAGAAATGAAATCGAAGGGTCGCGATGAAATTAATAACAACCGTTTAAATGATACACTGCCGTTGGGCTATTAATTAAGGCGAGCCGGCCAGGTGATTTTCAGCGATCAAGCCCGATATTCGTTCGTCCAATAAAATCCAATTTACCGGTGATCGATCGGCTGAATTTCCACGGGGCGGAACGTGGCCACGTATAACTGTAAGTCAAGAAACGGGGAAGCGTAAAGCGAAAGAGCGCAATGAACGCGTAATCCCTCGGAGAGGGAAGAAAAGCGTTAAAGTCCGCGGGGTGCTATAAAACAATTCCAAAGAAACTTCGAGGCCCTCGTAGCTGGTGAAATTTATTTGCGCTCACCGGGAACGCATCTAACTTCCCGGCCAAGCAATGTATTAATGAGGTCACACTCTGCATACCCCCTTCGGCTCCGTTACTTCGCGCCGCCGAAGATAATTCGATTAACTGCGTTCCGGGGTTACCGAGGATGACGAACTTGTTAATATTACCAGGCGTAAATAGACGGTCGGAATTATCGTTGATGAAGTTCGCGCCGTTGCATTCCCGTCACTTCCGCGGCGAACTTATTCCCAACTTTTTGCCGAGCGAAGATGCGTTTCTGTAACTTCGGCTTACGTTGGCTTTCGAGTTCTATCGCGGTAGACATGAAAAGTTGATTGGAATTCGAACTGCTCGCAGTTGTTGCAATGATGATACATTTACAATTGAATCAATTTCGATGGCTCGTTAGACAGAAACTATTAAGTCCGTTTAAAATTGTTATGTCCAGTATATTTGGTCTCGAGTTCTGTTGCGCACAAGTCAAACCGATTGAAGATACAAACTGCACTAATACTGCAATGATGATGCACTTGCTTGAATTTTGGTTGACCGATTAGACAGCAACATTAAGTCGCTTTAAAATGTTTATAAAAGCACATTCATTACCAAGAATACTTCATAGAATATTTTAAACAGATTGAATACTTCTAAACTCCATTAGCATAAAAATGCATTTTAGTTAAAGTTTTCCTAATTCATAAGAATTACATTTAAAAAACACGTGAAAGACACCATGTGCCTTAATGATGTTCTAATAAATTATGGTACATGATGGTGAATGCTGTTCAAAAGTAGTCATTGTTGCAATAAGATCATTAATTGTGCAATCTTGTAGATCATCGTGGAAATTGCGACCGAAAGGAGGGCGTGTTTTTGACTTTTAAAAAATTAGATTTAAAAGGGCATAAAAAGAAAGATAAAAAAAACTGTTGTATATTTTAAATTCAGTTTTCTTCGCTGAATTTTACAAAATATTTAGAACGCGAATTTCACGTTGGAAATTCCGCGGTTGGAAGGTTAATGGTTCACGCTGAAATCTTAAAGATCGTTTTCACGTGTCTTTAGTTAAGCGCGCAATAACGATAAGGCGTCATTGCGCAACGAATTTTCGAGCCGAGACAGCTTTTTAATTGCTCGTTTTGTCACGTAGCTGCAAGGCCACCGCGACTGATAGTTACCCGGCCGAGTACTCCTTTTTTCCGCGCGGCAGAGGACGGACCGAAACAGAATTCTGATTAATTGACATGGTTTTAATTAAACTTTTAATTAACGAGACCAAAAGGGGAAAAAAGAACGATTCCGGGACTAGGTGTTGCCGGCCGTGACCGCGGACGATTAATTATCAACAATAGAGAAGTCTTACGCAATAAGACGAACGCCGAGCGGGTGGGAGCGAATTTATGCTCATAAATTTGCACAAAATCTCCTGCGATTACGAGCCGGTCTCTCACCTCGCAATCTTCATTCGCCACTGTTCATTTTCGCACGACAAATGCTGCGTTTGCGTAGAAACGAACGAAAGTGAAAATAGGAACAGCGATGCAATCCTATTTCGCCGAGAACAAGTATAATTACATTTCGGCATAGACAAGTCGATGCTAAGTGTACGATACAAAAAATATGTTTAACAAATTAAACTTCCGATAAATTTGTGCTGTGCATAACGAGTTTCACTGTCGATTAATTAATTTAACCTTTAATTATTGAGAATAATGTTTTTAAGCGGGTAATCAAAGTAATAATCAAAAATCAGTTTTTTAAACATTTTAAGGGGGGGGGAGACTCATCGAGATAGGTGATATTTGGCAATTTTTGTATAAACTATTACGAAGAAAATATCGTTTGAATTTTTCGTTTTAAATCAAAGGAAAAAATTCTGGACTGCGCACCGTCGACGGGAAGTCCATAAGGAATAACATGTACCATTTCATTAAAAATCGATAAAATGTGAGGGAAAAAAGCGTCTTGTATGTTGAAATATTGGAGAATATATTTGCCAAGTGGCGATAAATATCATCAAAGTCTTATGATATTAAAAAATTGCCAAATGTTTCCTCTCGTTTGAATGCTTCACATGAGTCTCCCCCCTTAATAAAATGTCTGGGCAACGTCTGTATCTTGCAATTAGCACAGTCTAATTATAGTGAACGTGTAATATTTGTCCTGTACAAATATTTTACTAATTCGCTTTTCTTCTATCGCTAAGTTTATCAGATCACATCATCGCGGAAAATGGAAACGTAATTCGAAATAATAAATGTCGGAACAACATTTAACCTGCTATCCGATTATGATGAAATATTTCGTCATACTGGGAACACATCTTGAATGGGTATGACGACTATTGCCGCGACGGAAGCGCGAAAAGATTCTCGAACTTTTTCTCGAATTTTTTATTTTCCTTGTCATTCCAATAGCAAAATTAAAGAAAAATATTTTAGCCTCTTTAACATCTCTAAAAAAAAATTCAAGTCATTTAGTCCAGTTTCTGACGAAGTTATTCTATTTTAAATGATGTACGAGTACTTTCTTCTCCCATCGCAGGCGATCTGAGAAAATTCTTCGATTGCGAAGGGTCAAAGCGGAACGAATTCTCGAAATTAGAAGCGATCGGCTTCCAGTTATCAGGACGGAAGATCGCCGATGGGCAGCGTTATTAATCAATGAAGTCACGTGTGACGCACGCGTTTCCATGTACGTGTGCTCCAGATTACACGAAGTTTCCCGGATTCGCATCGATACTTTCCGCGAGACCTTTGAGTTCCACCGATCTCCCGATATATCCCGGCACGGAACTGGAAGCCAACTTACCGCACCGAATCGCATAAGCGTGTGCATGTGTGCACATACACCGTGTGCTTGCGAGCCACGCGTGTACAGGTATCCGCTACGTGTTCCCACCCCAGCATTCGGAAGTGGCAACGCCAACAGCAGCCGTACCACCCTGCCCGGGATATGCCGGCAGAAACAGAAACGCCAGAGAACAAGGTCGTATCTTCGAAGACAACGG